CTATTTCTATATATATATATATATATATATATATAGGGTGTGGTTTCTACAAGGTTGCAACCTCAAACAATCCAATTAAGGCGCACCTCCAAATTTTATCATAAAATGTAATGTTGGCGTAAAAATATATTAAGATTATCTTAAAATCTATTTTTATATCTAATTATAAAATTTTAAACTAAATAAATAGTTAAAATCAAATAAATCTATAAATATATGAAAATCTTGAATATGGACGGTCTAGATAATGTGTTGCAAGATGCATTATTTCTGGGACTCAAAATCTTTTTTTTTTCATATTCATACATCTCAATGTCAAGATGATCAATTAGAGGGTTTTTCAACAATAAAACAACATTTTTCGATGGATTTTTTAGGCGCATATGTAATCCTACATTTTAAGGTTCCAACCTTATATAAACTTTTTCCATAAAAAAAGTTACAAATAGTTACAAATAGTTTGTCACCTAAGATGCATACTAATTTGGTTATGCTTGTAGCCATAGACCTTGATCGGATGGTTGGAAGTGTATATTACTATTTGAATTTTAATATTTTTTTACAAAAGCTGAAATTTTGGGCGTGTGTGCTACATATTGTGGCACACAAGAAAAAAGTATAAAAGTAAAACAAATGTCAAGTAGATACTACTAAAATTTGTCAGGGGTATTTTGCTCACATACGTTTCTGGAAATATTTGGTTTATGTTTATCTATGGTGTGATGTTGTCAAGTAGATATGCCTAAAATTTCAGCTTAATCTAATTTGTAGAAAACGGATTAAAATTCAAACTATAGCATACATACTTGACCATCCGATCAAGGTTTGATAGTTGGGAGCATATAACCGAAATTGCTATTTGTTTCTTGGTGACAACCTATCTGTAGCTTATATATATATATATCCATATATATAGGGCCGAGGCTCTAAATAATCAAATTAGAGCCCACCTAAAAATTTCTCTAGAAGAGGTTGTTTTGATGCCCAAATATCCTAAAATTGATCATTTCGATATCACGATGCATGGACATGAGAAAACAATAGATTTCATGTTTTGGAAATAGTGCATCTTGTAATGCATTTTTAGATCGTCAATTTTCAATATTTTCAAGTTTTCATAGATCTGCTTGATCTATACTTTTTTTGAAGCTTTAAATTGTATAATTAGAGATGCAAATATATTCTAAGGCTATCACAAAGATTTCTAGTATTGAAACCACATTTCTCGACACTATTTGATGGTGTGCTCTACTTTGCTTGTTTAGAGCCTCGGCTTTATACAAA